CAAAATCAATACAGTTCTTGCTTTTTATGATACAAAGCTACACTAAAAATTTCAGTTACTTGGCTCAAACCGTTCTCGAGTTATCGTGATTACAGACAAACAGACAGACAGACACACACACACACACACAGACACGAAACTTTTTGATCATCACTGGAGTAATAGGCTTCGCTATCGCTCAGCCAATAAACTTTGCGGAACTCCAGCAAGACCAGACAAACTGAATGAAACTTTTGCGGTCAGTGGAGTAATGGGTTTCGCTAATCGCTCAGCCAATAACTAGGTAGATTTACGCCAGACCACGTCTCGCGTAACAGGCTTCGCGATATCTCACGTAACACTGTTGCGCTGCGACGCGCCTGGCATACATTTATATAGGCCAGCGGCGCTGACACCCGACTCGGTCAAATATGAACACAAAGACGGGCCTCCGGCCGTCAACTTCCCGTCACTTCGACTAAGCATGCAGGGTTGTACATTTTATCGCAAAAACTCCATGTGGCGCCTAAACGGTCAACAGTAAAGCCAAACGGACAAAATTTTCGCCCTTGGGGCTCTACTTTGATGAGTTACCCCTTAGAAAACATTAGAAAAATATTTTTCAGAAACATCATTTCGAGACCTGTGGTTTTTGATTTTTTAAAAATCCAATTTTCGAGCTAGAATGCTCTTCTTCGAACCTGATCTGTCTTTTTATGACACAAAACGACCCTGAAAATCCCAGGTCGCTAGCTCAATTCGTTCTCGAGTTATCGTGCGCACAGACAAACACACAGACAGACAGACGCGGAACTTTTTGATCATAACTAGAGTAATAGGCTTCGCTATCGCTCAGCCAACTAGCTATATGTACGCCAGACCACGTCTCGCGTAAAAGGCTTTGCGATATCTCACGAAATACTGTTACGCTGCGACGCGCCTGGCGCACATATAGCTAGGCCTGCGGCGCTGACACCCGGGACGAGTTAAGGAGAGGATATAGGGGAACAGGGTCTTCCGGGCCCAAAATTTGACATACTCGAACCATTTGTCGGGGTCTTCTTACTCTAAAATTAGGGACATGGAACTTCTGCTGTTCGGTAACGGTTTTCATTAAAAATCGAATTTTGTCAGATTGTTATGTAACTAGGTAGATGTACGCCAGACCACGTCTCGCGTAACTGGCTTCGCGATATCTCACGAAACACTGTTACGCTGCGACGCGCCTGGCATACATCTACCTAGGCCTGCGGCGCTGACACCCGAGTCGTGTAGTGCAAAAGGGTACACAAAGATACGAGCCTCCGGCCCGTCAACGGCCCGTCACTTTGACTAAGCATGCAGGGTTGTTCATTTTTAGCCCGCCCTTCTGCTTTGAAAAGGCTATCCAGCGGGCTTATGCAAACGACCTCGTGTCTGTCTGTCTGTGTGTCTGTGTGTCTGTGTGTCTGTGTGTCTGTCTGTCTGTTCCACTAGAAGGAGATGTGGTTCACTCCTAGAAAACGAAACGCCTACGGCAAATCCTGGCAACCAACCCTAAGGGGCTGAAAGGGGGTATCAAAGAAAAGGGGGTAGGTCAAAAAAGTCAGAAAAAAAGTATTTTTTTATGAGCTCCTAAGAGGTAACTCGTCAAAAAAGAGCCCTACGGGCGAAAATTTCGTCCGTTTTGTTCTATCTCTAACCGTTTAGGCGCTAGAGGGTCTTGTTTGACGAAAATAAGTTAAAAATTGCCGTAGTGAACAATTAAATGTAAAAGCAGGCCCAGAACCGCAAAAGAGGTTAGAAACTCCCTTCCCCCACCCCGAAAAACGTTTTCTAAGCAGAAAGGTGGGTTGTAGTCGCGGTGTTTCACCGTTACATCCCTTCCTCGTGTCTACGGGGCAAATTTTAAGGACGACGGGCTTTGCGGGCCGAAGGCCCGTTACATCATTTGATTATGTTCTACAGGAAATCGCGTGACAAAAATGGTCGGGCCGCAGGCCCGACCATCGCCGCCGGCAGGCCAAGCAGGCCCGGCCCCTGCCGAACAGAGTTGCCGGCGCAGCGAAGCGAAGATGGCAACTTCGTTTGGCGGAAGGGCGGGCCTGATTGTTTCGCTTATTTTCGTCAAAAAACACCCTCTAGCGCCTCAACGGTTGAAGCTAGAGCAAAACGGAGAAAATTTTTGCCCGGAGGGCTCTACTTTGATCAGTTACCTCTCAGAAAACATCTAAAAGATATTTTTAACACTAGAACTACCGGGATTTTCGCATACCTAGATCTACCGGAGGGGTCATTTTGACCCCTAGGTACTATTCCGCCGTTTAAACTGTTAAAAGACGGCGGTTTTGGGTACACAACTTCTTATTTTCGTTTTTTTTGACAGTTGATGCAATTTTTGCACCTACGGGGGTCCCTGTGTGGGGGTAGGTAGGCAACCCGCAAAGCACGATATTTAATTTTTCAGAAGTTTTACAGATTTTTTCACAATTTTTCGTTTTGTTTCGGGTCAATGGCATAGGATTACAATGAAATACAATTATTCTCAACATTTTAGCATAGCCTGTGTTTTATTTCAGTCTGACCAACAACCGTAAGCACCGCAAATACGGTAAGTAATTCTGAAACTTCGGTTCTGCGAATAAAACAGTATACAAATATCATGCAATAACAGTCGTGATAGACCAATTATATTCATTTTTAACCTCTGGTCGACCATGGAACGCGTTTTTAGGCCGACAGAACTGTTGCGAATTCCTCATTATTATGCAAGGGGAAATAGGCTTGAACTTCGGTGTACGTTTCCTTGAACTTCAACGAACTTCGGTGAACTTCGAGAACTTCGGTGAACTTCGCGGAACTTCGACCGAAGTTATCGCACTTTGACCTGGTCAAGAGATATGAAAGCAAAATTGTTCCTCTGCAATCTTTCTAATTCAGGCCGTAGATACCTGCTTTGAGTAAGCTCGAGACTCGCTTATAGTAAGCACTCAAAATTGCTAAGTGCAGCCGTAAATATGTACTAAAATATTTGGAACTTTAGTGAACTTCTCAGATTTATTTTGAACTTCGGGGAACTTTGACATTTATTTTGAACTTTGGGAAACTTCGACATTTATTTTGAACTTCGAGGAACTTTGATGCTTATTTTAAACTTCGGTGAACTCCGTGAACTTCGATGGATTTCGGTGAACTTCGGAGAATTTCAGTGAACTTTGATAAAACTTTACAAAGCAAACTTTAGTAAACTTCGGCCGAACTTTAGTAAACTTCGGCCGAA